TGTGAATAATTTAAATACCTTGGAATTATTTAAACTCAATTAATTAAATCAGATTAGGCACACTAATAATCTCAATTACCTTAATTAATCTCAATTAATTCTTCAGGGTGTTACAGTTAGATAGGAATGATCTTATGTAATAGTGCCTCATTTCTTATTTTCAAAAAAAAAAAAGAAAAAGAAAAAAAAAAGAGCAAGAGCAACATTTCACAGATCATGTAGTTTTGTCGTAATCACATTTGATGCTATATAGCTGCTTGTCAAAAGAATACCTTTCTACATTCACCTCATTATTGCAGGTTGTCTCTTGCCAAAAAATAAAAAATAAAAAAAAGAAGAAGAAGAAGAAGAAGAAGAAAAAAAAGGAGTAGTTTATTTTTCTATGCATTTTTTTGGCTCTTTGTTCATTTCTGTAAATTTCTGTTTGACCCGAATGAAATCCCAAAAGCTGGTTTGTGGTAAGAATGGTAGAATGTTCTAGTAGTTGATTAACCTATGTTTTGGTCAATGTTTGTTTGACTGTTTGTCCTAAATTTGACCTTCCTCACACTGAGCGTTGATTGTTTCATTTCCAACTCCATGAGAGAAAACCTTTACACTTAAATATTTCTGACACCTGTGAGATCAATGGAGTTAAGACTTCTGCTTGGTGAATTTTTTCAAAGCTGCATGTGTTATGGTTAGTGGTCAGAAGGTTATGGTTTGGAGCACACACACGACTCTGGAGTTATGACTGAAATAATCTTGATAGTATCTTTTGACTTCTTACTGACAGTTTGTTTGAAATACGAAGGTGACTAAGCTAGTTGAGACTCAGATTTTCTTTGTGACATGATTTCTCTTGCGCTTGGATTGCTAGAGACTAGCAATAAGCTGGTTGGGGGTTGTGATTAGTGCATGAAAATTCACCCTGAATACTATTTTTGATTTATATAATATTAAAATATTTAAGCTTTAATTAAACAATTCTATCATTTTTATTCATAATATTTTTAATTGGAATTTGTCTAGTTTTTACTTAATTATTTACAGATAAAAAGCAGTGTAAAAAGCTACACAAAAATAAGCAATGAAAGCCATGTTTTCAAGTTTCAACCAGCCGAGCCATGCCTTTCAGTCGAGCCGATCAGAGAAAGAGAGAGCCAAGCAGCTTAGCCGAGCCAACATCAGCTTGTGGGCCCCACCACTCAGCGCAGGAATCCGCCCCCATTTCTTCCCGCTATCTCACGCCTCGCGCGTCACCAGCACGCCGCACCTCACAGGGCGCGTTCCTTCCACGCAGCCATTAGCGCGCGTCCAAGCTTCAATCCGTGTGGGTCCCGCACGACAGCATCAGACCTGCTGCCTTCTCCGCGTGCGCCACCTGTCCAACGCGGGTCATCCACTCTGACCGCGCCAGCACACGCCAACCAATCCGCGTGCGACACGTGGCACGTTTCTCTCATCAATGCCAATCTCGTTTCGACACGTGTCCACTGAGTGTTGAGTCTGAATTTCTCCTTCAAAAATCAGAGCAAATTACCAGATTTCTTCCCAAATCAAATATATGATTCCTTCAAATTTATGCGTAATTTTATTTTGTTTCCCTTTCTTTTGTAATTTTCTATTTTTATTGTTTGTTTCCTTATTTGACAGGTAACCTCTGAACACTATAAATAGAGGGGTTAGCCTAAGGTTTTTGAATCTTTGAATTTTTCAGTTTTCTGTCGTCTTGTTGTCAGTCTCATATTTTCTCTCTAGAACTTGTGAGAATGTTTTGCAAGCTAGGCTAGAGTTCTCTTGGTCAGGTTAGAGATGAACTTCTATTGAGCGATCCAATTTAGAGTTTTGATTCCTTGTGCTGCAAAGTTCAACATCTGAATGAATTAAATCTCATCTATTTTTCTATTACTTTTCAAAATATTGTGTGCCAATTTTTATATAAGTTCAGTCACGCTTTTCTTATGTAATTATGTCACGCATTGTTTTGTCATTCAAATTATTTTACAAATTGTCTTTTACTGCAATATTGTCGGATGGATATATTGTCGATTTTAGATAACTTGTAATAATAACATTTCTGGAGTCAACATACAGATTTAATTTATTCGGTTATTTAATATTGTGAATCAAAACTTGGATTGGTGAACGAAGCATTAGGGATTCTCGACACCTTATCGTTTTCTTCATACATATTTTTTCCTTTTTATTTTATTTGCAACAAAAATCTCAAAAAAACTCACACTTTTCTTTAATTCACTTTTCTCCAACGCTCTTATTCTGTTAGTCTTTCTTGTTATTTTGTTATCTCTCTGTGGATACGACCATCCTTCTATGCTACAATTGACCGCCTGTGAATATCACTTTTGGGCGTTAATCATACTCTATTATGTTTGGTAGTTAATTTCTATGTAATATATTGAATTATTGTGCCTTGTTTATAATGAGTACGTAAAATTATATTTGAATCATAATCTATATATAACTATGATGATTTCCTACTATACTATTCAACATAACTCTCATATTCTAATAAAAAGGGTATTGTTTAAATTAAGTAATATTGATTGTTTTAATTTTTTATATCGTTTTAATAAAAAATTTTAAAGGTTTTTTAAGGTATCTATTTTTTTTTTTTTCAAAATATCCCTTGATATCAACATTTTCGTCCACATTATCCACAAATCAAAACCTCGACATCCCATCAACACTGTCATTTTCAACCATGTATAGAACATATTAAAAATTAACTAAAAGCCGGCGCATACATTCATCATTAGCTGGCAGAATATTTTGAAAACTCGTATAATATATATATATATATATATATATTTGTATATATATTTTGAAATATTCTATAATCGATAAAATAGTATTGTTATTTTTGAAATAATCTTATTTGAAAACTTCTCTACCGTTGACGTCCATAATTCTGACTTTTCCAAGGAGTTTGGCCAATCTGTAAGATGCTGATGTTCTTATTAGTTTAATTGGAAGGGAATTTTTATGGTGGAGAATGTGATTTTCCTCCACATTAGGAGTTATTATTTTTAATTGTTGAATTAATTTTTTAATAGTTAAATTAAAAACTTATAATTAACAACATTTTAATGCAGATTAGACTCTTAAAAAAATAATTCCTCCTTTAAAAGACGTCAATGTAACAAAATATCATTATCCACCATAAATGCAGGCAGCAGAATAATATTGTTGTTTAGAAACATTTTCTAATCGATAGAGTTGACTTTTCCTTCCTAGAAGGTACCGAGAAAGGAGGTGATTAATTCTCTTTCATTTGAATATATTATACCTTGAAATCTTTTTGGGCATTCAGAAAAATTATACTCTTGAAAGAAGGGTTTGCTTTGCGTTGGTTTGATTGCGAATCCTTCAATAGTGAAGAGCATGGCCGCAAGTTGTTCTTCCTCTAATGCAATTACCCCGGCGCCATCGCAGAAATACGAGGTTTTTCTTAGTTTCAGAGGCGAAGACACTCGTTATGGTTTTGTTAGCCACTTATACGCCGCTTTATGCCGGAAGAAAATCAGGACTTACGTCGATGACAAGAGTCTTGAGAGAGGAAATGAAATTTCATATTCACTTGCGCAAGCAATTAAGGAATCAAACGTTGCTGTGATTATTCTCTCAGAAAACTATGCTTCTTCCTCGTGGTGCTTGGATGAGCTTCTTCAAATACTAGAATGCAAAGAAAGATACGGCCAAACTGTTATTCCAGTGTTTTACCATGTAGAACCAACGCATGTACGCAAACAACAAGGGAGATTTGGCAAGGCTTTCTCTCTCCTTGAAAAACGTTTTAAGAAAAAAGGAGACCAAGTGAACAAGTGGAAGATTGCTTTATCAACAATAGCAGCTCTATCTGGATTGAATTCGAGTGAAAGCAGGTAACAGAAACATATTTATAAATATATATATATATTATTTTTTAATGTATTTAATAATAAAGATTTTTATGAGTTAGTTAATATACAACTAACACAAATATCTCTATAAGTTTTGCCATTAAGATAACAAAGATTACACATGAAAAAAATTAAACAGGGACACATCTAGAAAAATATATTTCAATGAGAGCATTCAGGGAAAAAAAAAATTAAAAGAAGTACATTTAAAAAGGATTACAATGTAGAGAATCTTTTGGCAAAATGAAAAAAAAAAAGAAGCAAAAAAATTAAGCACGGGTTTAGATGAAAAATTATGTTAATAGGAGTAAAGTAAGGGAAAATATGCCTTTTAAAATCACTCAACAAGAAAATAAATTAGAGAGAATGCATGAATTAAAAATAATTGTTGCAATTAAATAAGGTGTAGAGGGAGGGAAATGCTTGTCACAATAAAGTTTTTGAACTTAACGTGCTATGCACGGAAGGAGTACTCCGCATGTTAAGTTTTAAGTACTACGATCATTTTTTAATTTATTTAATAATAAAGATCTAAGTTAGCTAGTTAGTTAATAAACAACCAACACAACATCTTTATAAATTCTCCATTAGAAAAAGGATTACACAAGAAAAAAAAAACTAAATAGGGACACAACTAAAAAATATATTTTATATAAAATCTGAATATAAATCCTAAAAAGGAACCAAAATGGGAAAAAAGAAAAGAAGCAAAACAAATGTCCAGTAAAGGATGAAAATGAAGAAATAAATGAGTTTTGAGGCAAAAGGAAACAAAATGAAAAAGTTAAGTTGCAGGGCAGAAATAAAAATAAAAGGAACAAAAAAAGACCAAACGAAGAAGTAAATAATTTTTAGGGAAAAAAAGAGCCAAAACAAAAAAAAAAAATTAAAGTTTCAGGAAAAAAATAAAAAAAAGGACCAAAATGAAATTTTTTGTTTAAGGTATAAAGGAAAACAAATAAAATACCAGACTAAAATAAAAGGAGATAGAAAGGGTATACGATTTTGATCAATACAAGAAGAAACAAAAAAATGCTAAAAAAGGACAAAACGATAAAATAAATAAGTTTTAAGACAAAAACAATCAAACGGGAAAAAAAGTTTCAGGGCAAAATTATATTAAAACAAAAGTTAAAAATGACAAAAATAAGAAATAAATAAATTTTAAGATAAAAAAATAAAATAAAAGACTTTGTAAACAAAAAATAAGAGGGTTGTTTTGGTTGAAATAGTTCATTATTGACTCACTAAAACAAAAAAACGAGAGAAGGGGTGTACAATTTCGATCAATACAGGAAGAAACAATGAAAAAGTGCCGAAAGATCAAAACGAAGAAATAAATAAATTTTGAGATAAAAAAAATCAAAACGGAAAAAATCACAAAAGTTTTCCTTTTAATTAAATGATCACAAGTATTTATCAAAATAATTACATTGTGATGGCAATTTTTTGATTTTTTGAATTTAATAATTAACTCATGCTAGAACGATTGTTTGATTCCTACTTGGATTAGAATTGATAATTGTCTTATAACTATCATATCTTATCCGACTCTAAATCAAACTTTAACTAATGATTATCACAGTCTTGAAAAGATCACTAATCCTACTATAGGATAGTTCTTGAACTATTAATTATCACATTCCTGGATAATAACTTTATTCTAGTTGGACTAAAACTCTGATCGATAATTATCACATGCTAGGGTAATTAATTAGTCAAACTCAAAAACACCTAGAAGATGTGCCTAGAATCCTGGGGAAAGACCCAAGACGTGTGTGCAATCAATTTCTTTACTTTATATTTCAACAACGTGAATAGGTTTCTTGGGGGGGAATGGAATGCTTAAAATAAGGTGCCAACTAAGTCGGTATGTCTCTTACGCCATGTTTGGTATGAGGGAAAGATAGAGGGGAGGAGAAGGGTGGAGGGAGAGAGATGGAATGAGAGGTTAATCTTTGTTTGAGTGGGGGGACAGGAAGAGGGAGAAAAACGGTGGACAGATGTGGTCTCATAAACCTTGATGGCCCACAAAACAAGATCCTCTTATTGATGTAATGATCGAATCAATACATCAACTCTAACTTTTGAAAGATTTTTTTCTCTCTCTAATAAATTATTAACAAATAGTTTAAATGGACAATACAGTAATTTAAAAAGAGTACAAAAGTATTATCCAATAGAGTTGATTTATATTAAGCTTAGGCAGTAACTTTATATTTAAAAAAGGTTAGAGTTAGCACAATAATGATAAAAGTCTACTAGCTTTGCTTCATGTTAGTTCTTCCTAACTGAAATAATTTTCTGGTAAATGCTAGATCCGAGGCTGAATTCGTAGATGAAATTGTTGAAGACGTAATAAGAAAATTGCATCGCATTTCACGACCAAGGGATGATCTGAAGACGTTGGTTGGAATAGAGAGACAGGTGAAGGAGATTGAAATGATGTTAAGCCTTTTAAGCCACCGTGATGTTTGCATTATGGGTATTTGGGGCATGGGTGGAATAGGTAAAACAACCCTTGCAAATGTTGTATTCAACCGATTATCTTCTAAATTTGAAAGCAGTTGCTTTCTTGCCAATGTTAGAGAAGAGTGGGCCAAAGGTCGAAAAAATGAATTGCAAAAAGAGCTTTTCTCTAAACTATTGGAGGAAGATAATCCACTATACAATGTCAGGGGTAGGCTCTCTAACAAAAAGGTGCTTATTGTTCTTGATGACGTGAATGATCTAGAGCAGCTGGATCATTTAGTTGGAGATTTTAGTAATTTGTTTGGTCATGGAAGTATAATCATTGTTACAACACGGGATACAGAGTTGCTTTATTATATCAGAGCTGATGCGAGATATGACGTTAAAAGATTAAGTGATTTGGATGCGATTGTACTCTTCATTATGAATGCTTTTAACGGAAACCTTCCGGTGCCAACAGAATACATGGTAAGAATATCAAAGAGAGTTTTAAATTATGCTCAAGGCATTCCATTAGCTCTGAAAGTTTTGGGCTCTCACCTCCGTTGCAAGGAACAAGAGAATTGGGAAAGTGTATTGAATGAACTCGAACAATATCATAATTTTAACATTCAGAATGTGCTCAAAGTAAGCTATGATGGACTAAACCAAAAGGATCAACAAATATTTCTTGACATCGCATGCTTTTTTAAAGGGATGAGAAGAGATGAAGTGGAAAATATCTTGAATGCCTGTGGTTTCTTTGCGAAATTAAAAATAGACAATCTCATTCACAAATCTCTCTTGACCATCACTAAGTCACACACATTATGGATGCATGATTTGGTGCAAGAAATGGGTCGGGAAATAGTATTATCCACTAACGACCCCAGAAAGCGTAGTAGGCTATGGATTGCTCAGGATGTCATTCGTGTTTTGAAAAATAATGAGGTAAGTGTTTGCAAACTCTATAGGCGTCCTTTGAAAATTAATGCATTAACATTTAAAAGAATATATATATATATATATGTATGTGTGTGTGTGTGTGTATATATATATATATCTATACCTAAAAAAGAACATGAAGAACAATATCATCCAATAAATACTTCATAATCGTAGCATTTAATGAATTTTTTGGATGTATTGTGTATAATCTTTTCTTGATTTTCAGGGAAATGAAGCAATTCAAGGAATATTCCTAGACACAAGTGATATTGAAGAAGTAGACCTGGAACCTACAGTCCTCGAGAAGATGTATAAATTAAGATATATTCAAATCATCGATGATAAGGGACTATACACCAAGTTGAAGTTTCCTCAAGGTCTAAAGTCTCTTCCTACTGAATTGAGATACCTTGACTGGTACAACTACCCTTTGGAATTTTTGCCTTCAAATTTCTCACCACATAATCTTGTCGAACTTCATATGTCTCACAGCAACCTTAAGCGACTATGGAGTGGGGTCCAGGTTTGTCTTGATACTTTTGTTGCAAGTTGAATTTATAAGAGCATTTAAGGCCCCCGTCTGGGCCTTTTCTTTCTTTTCTTTTTTTCTTTTCTTTTTTTTTTTTTTTTTTGCTTTTAAGAAATAAATAAGAGAAACACGTTAGGGCTTCTTAATTAGTATTTTGATAGTGTATGAACAAGAGTTTATTTATTTTAAAAGACCTTTTGAACATGTTTGATTAAAGTAGTCAGTCTTTATTGTTACAAAAAATAATGTGAAATAAGGATATATATCGATGGAATTTTTAATCTTTTATTCACAAATAAAAGGTTAAAAAAGTAAATAAAACAAGCTTCTATAAGCTCTTTTATCATAAGCAATTAAGCACAATTTAGGAGGTGATTTGTTTTAAAAGAACTTATAAAAACTAAAAGTACTTTATTGTTATCTATCTAAAAAGCTCAAAAACAGCCTTTGGACTAAATAGGCTAAAAGTAAATTTTTTTAAGCAAATCCAAACTGGCCCTTTTTCTAACAATTTTCCAATTTTTGGCAGCATCTTGGGAACTTAAAGCATATTGATCTAAGTTTCTCCCAAGAACTGATCGAAATTCCAGATCTCTTTCATGCTCCGAGACTTGAGAGTATGAATCTGAAAGATTGTAGAAGTTTGGTTATGTTTCCTTCACTTAATTTTCAAAATTTTGATGAGCATTCTGATTCTAAAGAGTCTTGGCGTGCGGATTTTAGAAACCCAGGAACTCTTGTTCTCGCTGGCTGCTCTAGTCTTAAATCTCTTCCAGAACTTTCAGGGAGCATAAGATCTTTAATCTTAAACGGAACTGCAATAGAAGAATTCCCCACATCAAATTCGGCACTGGAAAATCTTTTTTATCTAGACCTTGGTGACTGCAAGCTTCTCAAGAATCTTGGAAGTGGCATTCGTAAGCTGGAGGGTCTAAAATATCTTGGTCTATGGATGTGTTTGTCTATCAATGTATTTCCAAAAAATCTTCCAAGAAATGTAATGGTATTAAATTTGTGTGGGACAGCAATAGAAGAAGTGCCTTCGTCAGTTAAGTATCTATCTTGTCTCGAGGAATTTCACTTGAGTTTTTGTAAAAGGCTTGTGACTCTTCCGACCAGCATTTGCGAGTTGAAATCTCTAAGGGAACTTCATCTTCTTGCTTGCTCAGAATTGGAAAACTTCCCAGAAATCTTGGAGCCAATGGGATGTTTAAAGACTCTTGATTTGAGCGAAACAAGAATTATGGAGCTACCGCATTCATTTGAAAACCTAATTGGGCTTCACAAGCTTCTTCTGGATGGGTGTGGAAAACTTAAGTTTGTCCCGGATACTATCATTCGTATGCCTAGTCTTAAAAAGCTCTCCCTTGCAAGGTGTTTTCTAGTCGAAATACCCGATTGGCTCGGTTGCTTATCGTCACTAGAGATATTAGATTTAAGATCAAACTCCATTGATAAAATACCTACCAGCATCAAAGATCTTTCAAGGTTGATTGAGTTACAGATTAGCGATTGCAAGAACCTTCAATTGTTACCAGAACTTCCTTTATCTCTAGGACTTCTTGATGCAAGCAGATGCACATCTCTAAAGACAGTTTCACATTCAAAGACTGCAATGGTAAAATGTCATTGGAATGACTATCAAGCTACTCACTATAAGGAATTCATTTTCAGTGACTGCTTAAACTTGGATCAAAGTGCGCTTTACAACATAATGATTGATTCCCAGGTCAGAATTTTGCTCACAGCAAATATATACCATTTCCAGCATGAAGAAATATCACGCGTAAGTCTCTTCCCTTCACAAGTATACTAATTGGTAGGTTAATAATTCTGTTAGTCCCTAAATTTTGAGCATTGTGACATTTTTGTGTATGAACTTTAATTTAGGCATATTTAGACTTCGAACTTTTGATTTTGAATGTTTACTCCTGGCAATAAATAGACAAATGATTTTTAAAATTTAACATGCATATTTACATTATTATCACATGATAACAAAAATTTTTTCATAAATAGATACAATATGTGCAAAATATTATAGTTTTTAATTAATAGGCTTTAATAATATAAAGAGAAAATTTTGCATATAGCATAACTCTTTCCGTAAAATTTTAAATTATCACGCATTGGATACATATTTATCTATGTTAAATTTCATAAATCATTCGTCTATTTTACAGTCAGATCAGACTAAAAGTTTTAGATATCTAAAGATTATTTATCTATGGACACATAAAACTAACAAAAAATGAAAGTTTAAAGACTAAATATGGCTAAATTAAAAATTTAAGGACCAAAGTGCCACTATATATATATATATATATATGCTTAAAGTTTATGGACTATCAGAGCTATTAATCCTAATTTGTATAGTATTTCAATATGAGAATGTCATGAATGACCCTTAATTTTTTTTTTTTTTTTGTTATGAACAGAAACTTGAAGAAAAGCCTTTTGTTAGTCTTTGTTCTCCGGGAAATGAAATACCAGAATGGTTCAGTTATCAATCGGAGAAATCTTCAATAACTATCGAGCTTCCTTCAAATTGGCATAATAACAACTTCATGGGTTTTGCTCTTTGTGTTATTGTTAAAGACATTGATTTTAGAGATAACCCTGTTGAGGTTAAATGTGAATTTTATTTTAAGACCCATCATGGCAAAAGTTACAAATTCCGTTCTCAGTTCCAGGAGATTTGTGAAAAGGAACCTAGTTTGAGGCGCTACATCTCATATTTCAAGTCAGATCACATACTCATGTGGAATAAGCACGATCATCGCTATCGTGATTTTCGTGATGCAGTTGAGGCGTCATTTGACTTTGAGCTATTAGTTAAAAAAACTGCTCATCCTCCTTCCGTTGACAAATCAATAATTAGAAGGTACGGAATCCGAGGGTTATATTTTCAAGATGCGCAGGAATTTGATATCATTTACAAGACTGAACAAAATGATCAAAATGTATAGAGCCACAGAATATGAGTTTATAGGTAAAATATGAACTTCTCACACTAATTACTAAATCACTATTGCATGCATTTTGTAATCTATACTGATCTTCATTCCAGCAAGGCCTACGACTCATTTCTTTCTTTCTTTCTTCTACTGAAGGAAGCAACTTAATTTATCAGTCCGCTCTCAGTTGCTGCAGCCAAATTCACCTCATTTTCTCCTCATCCGCGTCTTATAGTCAAGAGTATGCGTTGGACGGTCACGACAGAATGGCTATTGGCCTCGCGACGGTATGCTTGGGCTCTTCCTTTCATTGAGATGATGGCCTTTTTAATGGAGGATTTAAGGCATCTTATGAATGTTGATGTTTTTAATGTTTGTTCACTGGTTCCTAGATCTACTAATATGATTGCTTCTTTTTGCTCAAAGCTAATATTGTAGCTTAATTTGTGTTGGCTGTTTTTTTTTTTTTTTTTCCGTCATACTTTGATTGTAATAGGGCAGAGGCTATTTCTGTTTCCATAGCCCTTGGGTTTGTGATTTTGTGTGCGTTCTTTTTTACTGGTTTGTGTGGCTATTGGATCTTTTCATTTATTACAGTATAACCTCGATAAATTAATACTCAGATTAATTTATAACCTTGATTAGATAATATTTTTACCGGTCTCTACTTGGTTCCAAGAGTATCAATTTATTTCGATTAAATAATATCTTGATTAATTAATAAAATTTTATAGTCCCAAAGGTATTAATTTATAGTGTTTTGACAGCGTTGCTTTAAATGAACTATGCTTATTATAGAGTTAAATTTAATGTTTATAGTTTATAGTCTAAAAACTTGTCAAGTTATATAAAGTATAGTTGATTTTTGAATTACTTGGGATTTTAAGTTTGAAATAAGGACATACTTTACAAGTCAAAATATAATTCAAATCTTTTTTTTTTAAAATATGTAAATGTGAATATGAAGGAGAAAAGTGACGTGCTACTTTGCTAGAGGATCTGGTTCTTTTTGCTCTAAGCTAGCTCTCTTTCTCTATCTCTTATTTTTTTTGGGCTTACAAAAATGTGAATATTATATATATATATATATATATATATAGGTAAGGTTTTTAAACCGGCACTTATTATTTGTGCTACTTTGCTAGAGGATCTGGTTCTTTTTGCTCTAAGCTAGCTCTCTTTCTCTATCTCTTATTTTTTTTGGGCTTACAAAAATGTGAATATTATATATATATATATATATATATATAGGTAAGGTTTTTAAACCGGCACTTAT